TTGATTTGTATGATTTTAATTTATGTATGGAGTTGTCTTTATTAATTAAGTAAGTATTGGATTAAGTAAACTTATTTAGTAATAGTTTGCAATTATATAAGAATTTAAGTGAAAGTTTGAAGTAATGATGTTCAACTAAGAAAACTCATAAACATAGTTAGAGTAAAAGTAAAAACATAGTTAGATCACAAACTAAAAATATAGTCAAAAACATAGTTAAAAGAGTAAAATTAAAAAGATAACATAATAGTTTTTAACGGTTATTTTAGCGTCCTGCCCGATATTTAAGAAGATAAGGACAATGTTTTCTGTTATGCCTTTTATCTCTGTAGTGACCACAAAATTTTGGTAGACCTGTCTCTCTTTGAGGATCATCCATATCAGCATGAATTTGGTTAGATTCAGGTCGACCTCTTAACTTCCTACGCAATTCAGGATTTGACAATCATTCTTCAGAAATAGTTGATGTAGGCCAATATGTTTCATTTGGAAGGTGTTTAAATTCACAACTGTAAATGTTACACATAGTGTACAAGCTATAACAATCATCAGCATAGAAGTATTGGTCAACATTAGTGTGCATACATGCAATAACATCGTGAGCGCATGAGAATCTAAAAGCTTGAAATCGATCACAATCACACTATCTTCTATTCATATTACTAGTGTACGTTGTAGAATTACCTCCCTCAAGTGGTCGAACTAGTGTTTGGACAACAAAATCAAAATCAAGTCTGGCAAAATTATGAACAAACATTGATGTCGCATGTGTTTGATTCTTTTGCATTTTCTTATTGTCTTCTCTAAATCTGGAGCCCAATTTCTCTCATCGCTGATCATGGAATCTATTTGTGCACTTTTGTCTTCCCATACTTTGCCCAACCTAAAGTAAGTCTCCCTAACAATACTTGCTATCGGGAGATGTTGAGTCCCTTTTAGCACTGAGTTGATACATTTAGTAAGGTTGATAGTCATATGGTCGTAACGTCGACCCTCAACATCATATGCTTGTGACCATCTCTCTCTAGAGATTTCAGTAGCGAATTCATACACATCATCTTTGTATCTTCTCAAATTTTCTAGTCATGCACGAAAGTTTGATTGTAGTAAAGCATACCCTAAGAAGCAGTAAAATAAATGTTATTGAAAATACAAAAAAATGAACATAAATGAAGCATAAATAATTAATGAGAAATGACATAATAGTTACCCATGTTGATAATCTCTTTTTTGATATTTTTCTTCTTAAACCTCTTCATAACATTAGATGTAATATGGCGTATACAATATGTCAGATATGCATGAGGAGGCGTCCATCTACTTTTCGGTCTATAAATTGTGCTTAACAACCCAGATGATCGATCTAAGATTATGCAAACCCCATCTTGAATGACAACATGGGAACATAAGTAGGAGAGAAATAAATTTCAAGTTTCCTCCAATTCATTTTTAACAATGGCGAAGGCAATGAGAAAAATATTTATGTCTCCATCTTGTGCAACGACTATCATCAAGACATGTCTGTAGAGCCCATACAGAAAAGTCCCATCGACTTAAATCATTTGTTTACAAAATTGAAACCATTCAATAGCTGACTTAAACACCCAGAACAAGCCACCAAAAACTATCTTTTCAGGGATAACGTCTCCCTGAAGCGCGACTGCATGAAGAGTATAATATCTAACAATGGTTCCAGGGATAAAAAATTTCATTGCTTTAGCAGACGTGGTAGCTCATTATATGACTGATTTCAATCACCATACAACAAATTCATTGCTTTCTTTTTAGCCATCCATGCCTTGTAATAAGTCGAAATATAACCAATGTATTCCGAATGGATGCCACTAACACAAAAACGAGTACTCTCGAATTTTTTCCCACCAATAACTAGACATATGAGCATATGACGTATGAATCTAAATGTTTGTGGTCTTGTGTCAACGAGCTCATTGTACATGCGTGTTGTGCATTGAACCTTGTGACTTCCCACAACATCTTCTGTTGTAAGTATGATATTTGTATTTACGAAATATGTCTTTTGATCAGACTCCGCGACATAGAATTGAAGATGAGCTTTGATGCAATACTCATTGATTGCTAATTGTGCCTATTTTTTTGTTGAAACATCAATTGAAATCTCATTTCTCAATAAGTCAGAAATAACTACATCTCGCGCATAATTGTTGTGAAACACCAATGACATACCATTAATCGGAACGCCAAGTTGATATGCAACATCTTCCAATGTTATCATCACTTCACTAGAAAGAAAATGAAACGTATGGGTTTCGGGCCTCCATCGCTCAATCAACGCCGATATCAATGTTGGCATCACCTTAAAATCACGAAGAAATATCGTTGGATATAATCCGGATTGTTGAATATATATCACAATCTACTGATGTAACTATTCATTCGTCATTTCTCGATGACGAATGTCTCGTTCTTCTTGCTACAATTTGAAAATAAATTGATTAATAAAATTATATAAATAATTTTTATTAATACTATACTTTTTTCAAAAGTAAAATAAAATAAAACAAATTAAATTTACGTTAGTCAACTCGGTCGACGAAATATGAGCATCATCAAGACATAACATTTCTTCTCTTGAGGCATTTTCATCACAAAATCTTCAACAAAAAAAGTTTTTACTCTCAATAGAATGTTTGATTTCCAATGAAAAACCAATCCAACACAAACATCTATTTATAATACTCTATCCAACGGCTATAAACGACTAATTTTTCAAATTGAAAATAGCCGTTGGAACTCATCACACCGACGTGACGAGTTCCATTGAATTTTTAAAAAATTGTCCGTTGGCCAACAGTCCTCCCAACGATCGAAAATTTCAAATTTTTATCTTTGAAAATACTCACACCAGCGTGACAAGTCCCGTTGCCATTAAAATAATGTATATATATTTTTCAACCTTTATTTAAATTCAAGAAAATAAATTATTTTTAATAGGAATCGTCATATTTATTAAATATATTTAATCCGTAAGACCGACGTCCCAAGAACTATTTAAAAATAATTTCTCAAAAAACTTATCACGTATGTACGATGAGTTCCGGTGTTTTTCCAGAAAAATTACCGGTGACCGGTATATTTACTGATCTAATACCGGTCAAATTATATTTCTCGATCTAACACCCGTAGCAATAAAGCGCGCTCCCTGTACCGCGCTATATGCCACGTAGGGGTATAGCGCCGCCCCTGCTCAGCGCTATACCTGGGTATCTGATAGAATTATATTTAGCGCGAACCCTGGTCTGCGCTATACCTTTTATATAAATTATTACATATAGCGCGGTGCATGTATCATGTCTTATACGGTTATAAATACCCTTCACTCCCAGTTAAGTTTCTCACATCTCTCCTCTCAACTTATAAATTAATACAACAATTCTGTCAATTAGTAATAATTTTGGTAATTTTCTCATATTTGATTTAGAAGTTCGTACGATTTTTCGTTATAAATTTCGTTATAAATTTTTTATTATACTTTTTGTTTATTATGATTATTTGAAAAAAATATTATATTAATTATTTTCAATTAATTTTTGTGTTTGTAAAATTGAAAAGCATGAGCATACGTTAAAATAGTTTTGCGGTGCATATAATAATATAAAATTATATTATTTAAATTATTTACGTTGATGTGTAAAAAATTTATTGTGTTATATTTTTGTTCATATATAATTTATTTAATTAGATTTGTTTCAGATATTTTTTTACAGATATAATATTGACACATTTTTTTGCAGATAAAATATTAAATAAAGTAAAATGCTTAAATAAATTAAATACATAATATTAAAAATATTATAAAATATACCTTAAACAGAGAGATAATTTGAGAGAATTTGAAAAAATGTGGTGTGATGAAAGTAATAGAGGATGGAGGTATTTATAGGGAGGATTGGAGGTAATTAAAGGTATAGCGTGCCCCCTATACCGCGCTATACTCCACGTGTCAGATAAACAGCTATAGCGCGGATCAGAGGGCGCACTATACTCACGTGTAAGCCATGTCAGCGTATAGCGCGGTACAAGTGGCGTGCGGTACCCCACGTGACGCCAAATCAACATATAGCGCGGGACAGGGAGCACGTTTTATTGCTACGAGTGTTAGATCAAAAAATATAATCTAACCAATGTTAGATCAATAAATATATCAATCACCGATGATTTTTCGAAAAAAATACCGTATGTTCCCGCTATATTATAACTTTTACCGTATATCTCAAAATAATGTTAGAATTGGCCTATTGAACTAAATAATGTACCCGATACCAATATTTTCCTAATTCTGCCGCAGAACTATTAACTATCGCTAAAAGACAACATGAATAGCATAGCCTAACTGAACAGTACTTATCAAAACAACCTAAAACGATATTTCAAATATTTTAATACAAAGGGGAATCAAACTTAATTAACTGTAAAAAAATAAATACAAATACTATCGGTGCTGATTAAATATATACATAAAAACTATGGGTGCTGTGCTGGTTTGTCTTCCTGACCATAACTGTGTAAAGTCTTATCCTTTTTTGTTCTTTGCATCTCTCTCTTCACTGTTCTTATCTTATCCCATAAATTCACTCAATTTCTTTTTTATATTTTACTTCATCAATATTCATAAATCTAGAAAATATGATTGAATCTCAATTTTATTTTTAAATTTTTGGATTAAAAAATATCATAATATCATCTTTAACTTCTTCTCTTTTTGGGACCATTATCCAGTCATTGGACACTGTTCTCCCGTTCACAAAAAAATATCTTTTATCGACTACTGGTTCATTTGGTGATAACCCTTTTCTCCATGTGTCAAGTTGCACAAACATCATCCACATCAAGCAACTCTAATAATTTCTCCAACCTCTCTTTTTATTTTATAAATTTGTCTATGGAAAAAAGTTGATTGCTTTAGACCTACAAAGTCATCAAAACCCTATCCAAATGGCATCTTCTTATGCAAACACCATAATAATAGCAGGATAAGCAACAATCCCTCTCGCTCTCCACTCTTACATCTCATTTCTCCCATAATTTCTGTATTTTTCTCATTTTTTGACAGTTGATGGACCGTTCTTTCTCTCTCCACAGAGCTCCTTTTCTCTCTTCCTTTTTACCATCGTCTGTAAAAATATCTCGGGATCCCCACGATTTTAACCTTATGAATTCACCTTCCAACCGCCGATCACTTAGGACTGGCTTTACTTCGACTGCTTTCAATGACCGGAAGGTGCCCTCCGTCAGAGCTAGCGCCGGGGCTAGTCACTGTGACTTTAGCAGCTTGAACGCGCCTCTTGAGCCGAGGTCGGCTCCTGGGAAGTTTTTAAGCGGCGTCCTTCAGTACCAACGACAGGTCTTCCACTTTGCCGCCGCTGATGAACTTAAGCGGCTCGCAGATGATCGTGATGCAACCGTCGCTCGTGTTTCTGTTAGCTCGGATTCTGATGAATCATGTCTTCACAGGTTTGTAAAACAGTTCTGTTGCTTTAGTATACTACAAGGGAAGATTTTTTCTTTTGATAACTAGAAGTCTATTAACTTTCATTTGTTATTTGAAGGTGGTGTTTTTTTATATTGATAAGCTGCGATCATTATGTTTTCGGTTTGGTTAAGTTTTTCTTTCTGGCTATTTTCTCTTACGTTTTTCCTTTTTATTTGTATTGAGAAAATTAACCAAACGAATCTTAATTTTTTATAATGGTGACTGACATGTTTGATTTCATGGAAGAGGTTTTATCGTGTAGCGAGTCTAGTTCAGTAGATCTTGTGTGGTAAAAAAGTCAGCTTTTATACCAACTCGATTTCAGTTAAATTCAAATCCCTTAGACCTTGTCAGTCCAAGAATAGTTTGAAGTGAAGTGAAGTGAATTCAAACTTTGTCATAGTAATTATGACTTGCAATCAGGGAAGTATCTAATATTTTACGTCACGCAAACATCTAAAACCTGAATGGGAAGATTATTAATATAAAATACAAAGAAAATGTCTAAAATATACTGCAACAATTTTCAGGTGCGATTTTCCCAGTGTCCATTCCTGCTTTCAATGTTACATGTTATATTCAGATAGAACTTTGCCTATCTTACAACTATCAACTGGGCTTTCTTCATTCTGTGATTAGTCCCGAGGCAGAAGAAATTACCTTTCGAGGCTTTGTTTTGAGTTCTTTACCTTGGTTCATTAATTGTGATCATTCTATTCACTTTTAATTCTAAGCTACCAAAAGCTCGAGAATCATATGCTATTTATAAACAGATAGGAACCACTCATTTCTGAGTGGTTCATGAATGTCGCCTAATAATATGTTGTAAAAAGTGCTAAGTTGCCTTCAGTCTAATGCAACTAAATCTCGTTCAGTAATCGAATGGAAATACATAAAGGTGTATTTCATGCTTTTAGGATACTTCTTCCCCTGTTTATAATGTTGATTTCATATTTCTTCTGATATATATGTAATTGGCAATCGGTATACCTATAATTTCTTTTGTTCTTTGGGTTTTAAAGTTCATATGTGATCATACGTTAACTTGTTTGCACTTGTTAGTTTTTGGAATCTTCTCTTGGCTTGGATTAGAAAAGATGTTTATTGTATTGTATTGTATTTTATAGTGATATCAATTAGACATTGTGGCACAAAGGCATTTGTCTTCTGCTGAAAGGGGGCTCTCTAAAATCCCTGGCTTGGCATGTTTTGCGATGCTTCCAGGCGATGGTTGTAATGTTATTTTAACCACCAATGAAGTAGGTGCTATTTTAACTGCCATTATTATCTCTCTATTAAATGAGTTGCCATTGGAATACCTCAAAATTTGCATGTTGAATCCTTCGACTCTTTTGATCGATATAATAATCATTTTCTTTTCTATTTTTTTGACATAATTACATTTTTTGTAAATCGTAGAAGGATTGCTCAACTGAAAGAACAGGAGTGCCAAGCTGCTGTGGAAGATGTGATGTACATGTTAATCTTCTATAAATTCTCCGAATACAGAGTACCATTGGTTCCAAAGCTCTCCAGGTGCATTTACAATTGTAGACTCGAGATATTGCCTTCAAAAGACTGGGAGCTGGAGTCGATCCATAGCGTTGAGGTTTTGGAGATGGTTAGGGAACATGTCAGTGCTGTTATTGGCTTGAGAACAAACTCCAGTGTCACAGACAACTGGGCTACCACCGATATCCAACGGCCCCGTCTTGGTCGACTTTATGCAGCCTCCATCTTGTATGGCTATTTTCTGAAGTCTGCCTCCTCTAGACACCAACTGGAACAATGCTTAACTTTGGTTCATCAAAAGCATCTGAACGATAGGAACTTCCTTCAGTTTCTTGATCTTCTACCTTGTGGAATTAAGAGTCTGGTATTTGGCCATGCTAAGGACATGCAATCTGTTCCATTCGGTCAAGGGTCGGATAGACAGGAAATGAATCTCAAAGAGTTAAGGTGTTACGTTATGGGATTCGACCCTGAGACACTGCAGCGATGTGCCAAACTGAGATCCAAAGAGGCTGCAAATTTGATCGAGAGACACAGCTGTGCACTCATTGGTGACGAGCAGACGGATGTGACGGATGTGGTGATTAAGACATCTTTTTCAAGCCTGAAGAGATTAGTTCTGGAAGCTGTAGCCTTTGGTTCTTTCCTTTGGGACATTGAAGAATATGTCAACACCGTGTATAGGCTGAAGGACAACTAATTTGAGGTAAAGGGGAAGTTATAGCTGTTGAGTGAAGTCCATTTGTATAGAGGAATCCAGTTATGTGTTTCCTACGTTATTGCTTTGGTTTGAAGGAAGGAGGCATTCACATTGTATAGTTATAAGTTGATATAATGGAATAATGTACAGTGGTCAATTAACTTGTTTGGTATTTGGTTGCTCATCAACGAGATCAATTCACTTGTTTGGTATTTGGTTGATAACAGAATTCAAGAAATGTCAAACCAGAGGCAGTTAATGTGCATGCTGAATGTCGTAAGCATAATCAAGAGAGTTTTAACCTTTGATTAAGAATATTACATGGGTACCCAACTCCAATAATTTTGGAAGAATTTGAACGAATGAAACTCCAAAGATATGGAACATTCAAAAGCAAGCTTGTACTATACATGGATTCCATTAACTAATTTGGAGTTGATAATAAGCACAGCTAGTTTTACAAGATTGGTACTCCTGGGATACAGCAAGGCTTTTTTTTGTTGTTTTATTAGTATGTAGTAAATACAAGTTAAAATATGTTCAAAGATTCTTAATCATTTGATATTGAACGTTTATATCTTGTATATATGGTGTTCGAATCCGAAACCTCAAAAGACAACAATAATTTATTAACCACTGAATTAATGTAATTTGGTTCATACATTTGATTCAATGGTTTAAGTCCTTCCGTGCTTTTCAATTGATATGGATATGAATAAGTCCTCACTTGGCTCTTTCTTTTTTACATTAACTACAATATTATATATATAATAATTTGATTTGCTGGTTAGGATTTTTCCAACCCTTTTCTCCAGACCTAACTTCGATATCTCTTAACATTACTCTCCTTCAATTTTATTAGTTATAATGTCAGTTTTTTGTTGTTGTTAAATATTAATAATAGAGAGTTTGATTAAAAAAATAATGATGAGATTAATGTCTTTCACAATTAAATGATTATGACTCTTCGCTAGTTTTTTAATGTATTATTTCACTCGCTTCATATATTTCTCATTTCATTATAGTAATTTAATTTTAACGCTAACTATTCGATAAAAAATTAAAATATTCTACTTTTAGTATAAATTATGCATATTCATATTCACAAATGGAATATTCCTTGTGAACTTTGATCATGCTTTATTCTTTCCTACTTTATTCTCACGAATCTTCTATTTACTTGAAATACATTTTAGAATTTCAATTTCTCCCTCTTCCGATCATTTATAACCATGGATTGATATAATCTTAAACGATCAAGGTAATATTTATTTATTATCATGTTGATTTTTTTTTTTTTGGATTTTTGGATTAGAGTTGGATACACTATTTGTATGTGTAGATAATTTTCTTATGAAACTCGATTTTGATTTATAGTTGTCGTTGGTCTTCAATAGTTTGATATCTTTTTGTACTTTGTTTTACGATATTATCATATCTCTTTGTATTTTTTTATTGAAACTTTTTTGGATGCTTTTTAAGGTAAATTATATGGGTGACCACTCAACTATTGACTCCTTTCATTTTGACCATTGATGTTTCGGTTCCATCAATTAGATCATCCAACTATTTAAATACTTCAATCAAGCCACTAATTGTTACCGTTTAACGAAAATGATGATGCGACAGTTAATAAAATTAGTATAATAATAATATATTTATTCCTCAATACTTATATATTCTATCAATTTAATCTTAATTATAATTTAATTTAAAAATGGACCCTCCAATACGAAGGTGCCACGTGCACCACATGATTGGATAGTTTTTAAAGTTAATTAAAATATTTTAATTAAATAATATTTTAATCCTTAATGCTTACAAATTTTTAAAAAATGCCACCTACCAACCACATGTTATTTAACTATCACATCATAGTCTCTATTAAATATTAATGAATAGTGGTATGATTGAAACATCTAAATAATTATGTGGTTTGATTGACAATATCAAAACATCGATGGCCATAATAAAATTGGATAATAGTTGAGTGTTCACCTGTGTAGTTTACCATTTTTCAGTATTTTCTTTGTTTGGTTTGTATATGATCTCAAATGACTAGTTTTTGTATCAATGGTTATAAAAAAATATCATAATTATATGTTCAATTTACGCTTATATTATAAAACTTTTATTGTAATTTTAGATATTTATTTTTTTAATAAAACTAATTGAGTCTATAAAAAAATGTAATGGTTATATATATCTTATACACTCTTTCACGTGATGAATAAGAATATGAGATCTTAAGTAGAGATATTTATCTTTATTTTAATAAACTTAAATATTTTCTGTAATTTATTTGGGTAAAGTCGTGAGCTTAAAGTTTACTTTTTTTTGTTTTAGATTATTTTTATTTTAAATTAGATTAACTATTGTATTATATGATTCTCTAATGAAAATTTGTACATACAGAAGGAAGAATTAGTCTCATTTAATTTATTTCAAAAAGATAATCTTATTTAATTAGTAGACTTGTTCAAGCGTTACTCATTGACCTGGGCGGACCAGACCCAGTCCGTATTGATTCCAAGGATATTATTTTTTCTAAAAATATTTTCTAAAACATATTCAATAGAAACAAATTATTTATTAGACGCATTTTTTTTATAAATATGAATTTAAAATAGTATATGTTTGAAATTTTCAATTCTTTAATAATGAATACTCATTTTCATGCATATATGATGCTCAAACTCAATAGTCAATACCGTAAAAATAACAATTGATGAAAGAATTTGATGTAAAATTCTTATTTTCAATAAACAAAAAATATAATATTTCAGTTGACGTATAAAATAAATTAACTTTTAAATAAAGTTTATATTAAAATATTAAAAGTAAAATTAACACCATCATAAAAAAACACCTTTTTATAAACTATTATGTATTGATTTTTTAATTTTGACGTCATAATCTATTTTTTAACTCCACCACTAACTACAAGTTAAAATCATCAACATAAAAATCTTCACAAATATATCTATTTTAAATATATATTTTTTAAATTAATATTATTAAATAGTTTTTAACATAGAATTAAGAATATTTATATTTATCTAAATGAATAAATAATATTTTTAAAATCATTTATTAGATAAAATATGTTTTATTTATTTATATCTTTTATGTTGATTTCAAACTCGTTTATGTTTGTGTAATTCCTTATATAAATCATTTAAAGTTTGTTTTTATTTAATTATTATATAACTAATAAATTGTTCTTGTTAACGTATTTTTTATTTATATAATATAATTATTAATATTTCTATTTAATTATTTTTATGAACATATTTTAAATTATTCATGGATATATTTAATTATATGTCTATTGACAAATTTACTGATATGTTTATTTAATGTTTATAATTCATTTTCAAACATTAAATGAATAAATATATATATACATATACATATTTGTAAATAATTAAATATATATAATTTTAAATTTTTTAAAAAATATGAATTAAATAAATTGATTTAAAAAAATAATTAGTCATAAATTCTTTTTATTTATTTAGATTAGATTCATTAACAAAACTAAAAAAAAAATAATTAAGGAAATGTACAGTGATTGGTTAAAAAATTAAACTACAAATTGGAATTCGGTACGTATCTTTCTGAATACAATTTCAGTCTTTTTGATAAGATTAAGGGTAAGATACATAAATGGTTATCGACTATAAGATATTATTTTGTTAAGTCATTTAATTATTAAAAGTTATAAAATAATCTTATAAAATGTTGTTTTGTTGAATTCTTTGGTTATTAAAAAAGTTATAAAATAGACATCCGATTATTCATATATTACAAACTCGTCTTTTTTCTTTAAAAAAAGGGTAATCTGAGTTGAACGTTAACTTGTTGATTGATATATGATAAAATCTGATATCATAATCTGAAATGACTATCATATCTCAGTCAATATTTTAATGTCCATATCAGATGACTGTTAATTTGTTATTGAAAAATGATGAGTTTGGAATATAATGAATAATTGAGTGACTATTTTGTAACTTTTAATAGTTGAGGGACTTAACAAAATAACATCTTATAATTGAACGATAATTTTATAAATTTTAATAGTTTAAGACTCAATAAAATAATATCTTATAAGTGAGGAATCATTTATGTACTTTACCCTAAATTAAAATGAAAATGTTAGAGTCTCTTCTACAAGTTTTTATGACATCTACGTGTCGGCTGTTAACCACAATAGCACGAATAGCACTACGCAGCTAAGTGGATGTAATTCCAAATTCCACCCCCCAAGAGGAACCGATCCTTAATTTAGACCTGAAACACGCAAAGAGACAAGCCGAATCCGAACCGTATCAATCACACGCTAAACCTGCACTTCAAAATTTTCCCTCGGACAATAACACCCATATACTTTTCCTTTAATGACGATTAAGTCCAGCACTCGACGCGCACGTTTAAGTTGCGTCCACGTCACTCCTTATTCATCAATTTAGGGCAATTCGTCAAAACAAAAAAAATGCAATTCCGTAATATATCAAGATCTGTAGGGACAATCCAGTAATCCAACAAATAAATAATATTATATTATCGCTGGACCACATCCCTTCCCCACCACAACCAAGCATTGTTCTTCGTTTCAACTTTCATTTTTTTTTCAAAAGAAAAGAAAGGAAAAAATATAATATATGTTTTAAAAATAATAATATTTTATTACTATTATATTTTTCTTTGGTTTCTTCTCCTTCGCTTCTTCTGCGGAATTCTCTCTCATATAGCTTCTACAGTAATCTAAATCTATCTCTGAAATTCTTCACTTTTCATTGTTTTAAACAACATCCAATATACATTGGCGATCTGTTTCTTTTTCTTTCTTCCTTAGATATTTTTCTTCCCTCGTGTTTTAGGTGAGTTTAATCAATTTATTTCTCCTTATCTGTCTTCTTCTATTATGCTTTGCCTTCAAAAAAGGAAATTGTGATTTTTTTAATTTATAATCGTCGTTCCGAAAAAAATATAAATATTTTTTTTCTGAGCTATGTTTTTCTTTCACATTGGAATGCAATTGGAGTTTTCATTTTACTTCATGTTTGTTTTCCGAGAAAAAAAAGAGGTAAAAGGTTTCTGAAAGCTCTCGATTATTTTCATTTAATTTTGCATTTTTTAAAATAATTAAAGTTGTAGAAAAGAGGAGACTAATTTAAATTTGGCCATTGCCTATGCGATTGAATTAAGCATAACTGAGTTCCAGTGTTCGTTGGATAATAAATTCATAGTTTTAGATTTATACATTTAATTTTTTTCTATGACGAACTGCGTGCCTTTTTTCTCGGTGAAGAAATAGAACGTACGGCTGTTTGGTTTTAGTCGCTGTTTGCGCCTTTGTAATTCTTGTTTCAATTTTCGATTCTGGAGATTTTTTCTTTTATTAAGGGAAAGGTTCTTCCATCTACTCTTTTGATGATTTATTTATTTTTTCAATTCAATTTGATTGGTCTATCGTCTTCAGCTTTGGAAAATCGGCGACTTCCAGCAAGCTCATTTCCTCCTCTCTTTTTTAATTATTTATATATATATATAAATTTATTTTGTTTGTGTGTTATTTGTGTTAGATTTTATGAACTTTTTATGGATAAGATGTGAATAATTAATCGTATCAGTGTCTTTACATGTAGGAGATCTGATTGAATTTGCTGGTGTATTTCTTGCAAAAATCCCTTTGATTGAAACCCAGAGATTTCATTTGTTACAGAACACTTTGTTTGATTAATTACTAAAAGCGGGTAAGGAGGGAAAAACTGATACTGCTTTGTTTGTTTCTGACCCCCCCTAAAATTTGAAACATGACCCTCAGTTAACGTTTGTTACTATTTCTAGACCACCGTGTTACAATCTCCTTGGACAGAATTTTGTTTTGTATTTTTGTTATACAAGCCCTACAGGACCAAGTCTAATATTGATGTCTGTCTAGCATGTTGGTCAGTTTCTTTCTTTTGATTATGGTTTATGTCGAGCAATTTAGTCTTGCAAAGTTATGCTGATTTTCCGTGATTGTTTACAGCCCAACCCTGGTTTTGATATATGGGGCATCAGTTAAGCTGAGTGTAAAGAAAATGGATCAACGGATGAAGTTTTACACTTGTTCTGGAGTTCCTTTTGAGGTCTCGTAGATTCATTGAGTTTAGATGATAAGTGGCCGCAGCTTGTAGAAGCTGCAGTTGAGGATGTTGATAAATTTCTGGCTGATATTCTATCACTCTTACGATGAAAAGTCTTTTCCTTTCAGTATCTTACATTTCATGCTACAGTTTAGCAGTAAACCATATATGCAAGCTAGTGATCAAGCCTATGTCAATACTGTAAATACCTCTATCTGGAGGTTTCTAGAACTGCATTGACAAATTGTTGATTGTCATCTGGTACAACTGCAAGAATGGAAAGGTTTGTTTCTTGCCACTGCATTTGATATCAGTAAAATTTGTCAAGTTTCATTTGAAGTTTGCATCACTTTGGTACTATAGCTTTCTATTTCCTTTTTTCTCACTTAGATATAAAATTTCCGAGGAGCTTGGAGATGGTACCTGTGGTAGTGTGTTCAAAGCCTTCAATATAGAAACATTTGAGATTGTAAGTAACTTTCTCTTGTAATTTCTTTTTTACCTTGCAGTTTATATAACTTCACTAATTCTTTTTATTTGTCAATAAGATATATTCTTCTGCTCATTGTTCCTCACTTGTGGTTGAAGTTAATTCAATGATTAATGTTATACACTTTGCTGCACTTAAAAACATGTTGCGAAGTCGATGTAAGTTGCTGCTAGTTGTGATTGTCACAAGCAGGATATTTGTACATCGGTCTTATGTGATGATTGAAATGTCCTCAATATCTTGGAGATGGAAAATGATAAATATGGGATCAATTCTGAAGCCACTTTGTGAGCTTGAGTCATTAAGTGAATTATTTGTTTTTAATTGATCAATCTTATATCTACGAGCTGCTAATTTTGGTGTGTTATTTAGGGTGTCCGAACCACAGTTTAGGATGTCTGTTGATGGTGTCTCTCTCTTTACGCACCTCACTGTATACTACTACTCCCATCACTACCCCCTTCCTTGTACCAGGATGGTTAACAAGCACTTTGAGGTGTCTATTACTAGAAAAGTTTCAAAGTTCTAAATCCTTATGAACATGCAATGTCTGAGATGAAGCTCTTTGCTTAAAAACTTTACAGAACTAGAAAGTTGGGTGGTTGTATATCTGCATGGCATGAGATATTAGATATTAGAGCTTATATAGATATTAGCAGCCCTTCCAAGTATATATTTGGAGCATGTATATATTATATGTATGTACATATATATATATATATGCAAACAAGGTTAGAATAACTTGGGAGTTGAAAGGTTCGCTTTGGAAAATGATTCTGGTGTATCTCGCCTCAATGAGGATGTGACAATGGTGATTAGGAAGACCTTGGACTAGAAAACTTACCTCAATCTATTACGGGTAGCTGCTTGAAATGTCCCCCCGCCCCCTATTATACACTTTCTTTAGTTAAACAAGAAAATAGTGAATTTGCAATGTGGAACTTCCTTGTATTGTTGCTCCTCATGCTTTTTGTAAATGTTCTCGATCTAGGTTGCTGTGAAGAAAATGAAACGAAAGTTCTACTTTTGGGAAGAGTGTATGAATCTAAGAGAAGTTAAGGTAAGCTGTAATATTTCCTTGAATGTTAAGAGTCCTTTGCTTTTTACATAACCCTTAATCATAAGAGCTTGTTCCATTTATCATCTGCAGGCCCTTCGTAAACTAAATCACCCTAATATTGTAAAGCTAAAGGAGGTTGTCAGAGAAAACAATGAACTATTCTTCATTTTTGAGTACATGGTAAGGGTGCTTTACCAACTTCTTATTATTCTACAAAAGCACGGTGCTCTATGATTTTATCTGCCACTTAACTATTGCATCTGTTCTCCCTGTAATTACCATTTAAGTTGCTTTATTTTCATTATTTTTTGTCAACACAAAGCTTGGGAACATGACTATGATTAGGCTGGAGGTAGGAACATGGAGTGTAATTACCATTGCCTTGGTTACAAATACCATTTTGTAATCATTTTCTCTGCTAGTGCTAGAGTACCAGGGATGTGCTCAATTAATTACATGTTTGAACTTGTAAAATTTCAAAGGGGGGCCTATATTAACCAAATATATGCATGGTTCATTTTTGAATAATTCTATAATTAATTTTAGTGAAAGAGTTGTGCTGACACTGGCTACCTACTCCCCTATGAACCAAAGACAGCAAAAATTCTTCAATTTTGTATCTGTTTCAACAGAATTTCATAGTTTCTTTTAGTGATAAAGGTTTCAAGTGATTGTGATTACTACAACTGGGATTCATTGTGTGTTAAATTATTTATTGTAGCCAAGCATTAAGTTGAATGAAACCCTTTTCAGTTCGATTGTAAGAGGTTTAACATTTCTTTCTAGGAACATAATCTTTACCAAATCATGAGGGAGCGACAAAGCCCTTTCTCTGAATGGGAGATACGTAGCTTCATGTCTCAGATGCTGCAAGGACTTGCTCACATGCACAGAAACGGATATTTTCATCGAGATCTGAAACCTGGTAAATCTTCCTTTCATCTATGTGCATGTCCTTATCGTGTATTTATTATAGTGAAATATCTCTTTTTTTCCAGAAAACTTGCTGGTGACAAAGGATGTTCTGAAAGTTGCTGATTTTGGACTGGCGAGAGAAGTATCATCAATGCCTCCTTATACGGAATATGTTTCTACTCGATGGTGAGTAATTGTGTGATGGATATCATCTCATTTACTTAGGAATCGTGTTTCTTTACATTAACTCAATGTCAGTGCAGTCTCGCTGATTACTTCGTAATTTATATCTTGTTCAAACAGTATTATTCCCCTTCTAATGATTCATGGGATAAATTTGTCAGGTACCGTGCTCCAGAAGTTTTGTTGCAGTCTTCCACCTACACTCCTGCTATTGGTACGTGGATATTACTTGATCTATTTATCTTTGTGTGTGTATGTGTGCATGTACATATCTGCATCATTTTCTAGTAGCTTTATGGTACTGTTGTATGAATCCAAAACTTCACTTGCATCCGATAATGTATTTTCCATGTCAATTTGATTTATACATTTTTTCTTTCAGTTAAATGTTACTTTGAGGTTTATCTATATATCAATTCTTTCTTTATTTGGGCTTGAATGATGCCTAATAATAATAACATTGACAGATATGTGGGCTGTTGGTGCTATATTAGCAGAGCTTTTTACTTCATCTCCTATTTTTCCCGGGGAAAGGTGATTTATTATTCTGCCCTTTTCTTCTTTTAATTTTGGTGGATGATGATGTAAATTAAGGCAATTCTTTTGTTTTGAAAAATATATCATTTTCCAGATTATAAATGCAAACAACAATGAAAATACTTTGATTTCCAACTTGTCTTCCTTGACCATGTTGTCCCAACATGCATTATACGCATAGTATATGCTAACTTCAATATGTTCCTCAAGAGTGCATTCAAGTTTGATAAAGTTTCCTGTAACATATAGTTGGAATGTCTTTTGACGGTTGACTCTGGTAATTGTTGGGTCTGTAATTATGATTGCTAGTGTACTTTCAATGGCTTAAAGTTACTAGTTTATTGACTGTATGTAACTGGGAATTCAACATTGTATTCCTATAAAAATGAACACAGCTTGGTTGTTCTTTGTTTCTTCTAATGTTGTTCTGTTCTACTTTGTATTTGTTTGTGCTTTATGCACTTTAAGTTTTCACCCTAACCAAATTGATCTTACATGCATATGTAGGACCTTTTTTGCTTATGCGCAAAATATTCTATGTGAATTTACTCATAGCATCCTCAGTCTATACCTCTTTTGCCGCTTTATACATACTATTCTGTGTTTGTACATGAATGTGTGCACATGCGTTCATGGCTACAGGATTCATAACTGTAGTTATTGAGGAAGGAATATTTGTTATCCTTCTATAAAATAGTCTTGGCAGTTCCATGACCCTAAGATATTTGAGGATACTGTTATGTCTATGTACATGAATGTGCGTGCGTGCGTCGGTGGGAGGGATGCATAAATATAAATACGTATAATGTGTTACAATCTTTGCAGTGCTGTTATTTTAAGAACAATTCTTTACTTGCTGCCGAAGTATAAGAATATTTGTAGGTGTTGTGTATCTAGTTTTGTCATCTAGCATTTGCCACTTAAGTAAAAGACATATATGCCAGAGCTTATCATGGTTTTTCCTTCTTACCGTAATATTCTCACCACTTTGCAGTGAAATAGATCAACTGTACAAGGTATGCTGTGTTTTGGGTGCACCGGATTGGACTTCTTTTCCCGAAGCAACAAACATCACTCGTTTAATCAATATTAGTTATTCAGAGGTAGTTTTATTTATTTATTAGTTATATTTTATCGGCTACGTTTTGATGTTTACTTTGATTCTATCATCTATCATCATTACTTTTGGGCAGATTTTACCTACCAACCTGTCGGATATCATTCCCAGTGCTAGCCCTGAGGCTATTGATTTAATTATGGTATGTATTGTGGTCCACTAGAATTTAGCAAAGTGACATTTGCTCTACTATAATATCTAACACCCCTTGCTTTGAATGCCCAGCAACTTTGTTTGTGGGACCCGTTAAGGAGGCCAACTGCAGATCAGGCATTGCAGCATCCCTTTTTTAATGTAATACAGATGTTCTCAAGTTATTTTTCTGGTTTGTATTATTGTTACTTCAATTGTCCTAAACAATCCTGGACAGGGGGATGCTCGTGTTCCACGTCCACTGCTGCACGATCCACTTGAGCTGAGTTTAAACATGGGTGAGTCTTGAAGATCACTATAGTACCTGTGCAAAGACTATTAGATAACATTTTATATTCTCATTTTTTTTCTGGTTCAACCAATTAACGCTTTCTTGTACTATTCTGCAGGGTCAAAGCCAAATCTTGAGTTGAATCTATGGGATTTTGACACACAACCTGATGATTGTTTTCTGGGCCTGACATTAGCTGTAAAACCTAGTGTTTCAAAACTAGGTATTATAATCATATATGTCCAACATTTATAGTTCAGACTTATGTAGACTGTTTGCTCTTGTTAGCTAATGTTGCCTCTCAAAGTTTAGTCAGCAACTGCATAAATATGCATGTGGCATGGACGGACATCCTTTTTCATCTTCTGGTTGATTTTAGTGGAATAGTGGCTGGTGTCTGTGAAGTTAGAATGTCGTTCCTACCTCAAGTATTTGGGGATGCTGAGGGTTTTAGATGTTCATGGAGATATGAAAGTAGATAAACCTAGAAATAACGTCTACTGCTTTCCACTAGGGAAGCAATATTCTGCAAGCTGTGTAGTTCTCTATTGACTGAATATGTTTTTCATTGTTATGGTTTAAAACTATGTCAACATTTCTCATGTAACATCTTTCTTTGTATCCTTTTCTTTTGGGTCTATGTTAAATTGTTTACCTTTTCAAAAGCAAGAATCTGACTCATTTATTTCTGCAGAGGCGGTCCATAATGTCTCTCAACGTATGGAAGAGGTGAGTTATGCAGTATTACACTCAACAACATTGCTCTTGGCTATTATATATCTTTGGTGTGGATCCCACCAATTAACATTCAAGAAATATGGCTAACTACTGAGCTTCGTAATGCAGGAGATACTGTTTTGTCCTAGTCTGAATGATCATCCAGAGCAATCAGGTACAATAGTGATTCATAAAACACTTGTTTTGAACGTTAATCTGAATACAATGCTTCATTTGAGTTTATTCTACCTTTTTATTGGTCTTTCCGCAAACAACAGTGTTCTCCAGTTATTTCGTTTTCTCTCTTTTTCTTTCTTAGAATTTAGTGTTAAGCACTAATTGTCTGGGTTCTTTTCATTATCAGTTTTTTGGTCATTGCTTACTCCTGATCAAAATAGAATTCGCACACCAGTTGAATCCTCCTTCTCTCTCTCATTCAGGTAAGTTCTTTCTTTTTGCCTCATCTTAGGTTTTTGGTGTATGCGGTGAGCCGGTGACTTTAGCAGTAGTGGCTGAGTGTATTGATACTTTAACTGGACATCTGTGATGGTCCCTGGATTTTTCATGTTATAAAATTTACCTTTTTGTTTGAAGTAGGTCTTCCCCACTAATCGTCACTAATAGTGAAACCCCTTCAGTAGTTCTAGCAGTTTATACATAAACTACTTCTGTGCAATGGTGTATCGATTTGGTTTCTAGTCTCTTTACGGTATTTTTGTGTGTGTCACCTCTTTTGTGCATTATGTTCATCACTCATCCTATCATGACATCCGATATTCCACCGTTGCAGTTCAATTCAGCATCCACCGATTGGAGTCCCACAATCCACTGGGTTCGCAATAGCATCATTGCAGCCTAACCTCCCTGTTGGTCAAAACTATTGGGTGTGGCCTCCCCCTTCTGGCAAGGTTATCCCCTGATTGAGTGTGTTGGATAGCCTAATAAGGGCCTGTAGAGGAATTTGTAATTTATTTCATTTCCCTTTGTAAAGCCAGGATCCATTTAGTACCCCCCATAGCTTTCTATTGTAGTCGAATCTATAAGCTTTCGCCATTATTCGTCCGCAAAATCGTTGTCCCAAGAAAGTTCCCGGGCAGTTTTTCAGATTTCATCACTCAGTTAGGAAATTTCACCTTTACAGTAAACGTTGGCTGGAATACGCATCTTGGTTAATACATCTTCCATACAAATCTCTCCTCACTGCGTGCGGTGTGCCGATGATGTGCAGGTAATGAAAAATGTCTGATTCTCAACCCAATACAAAGTTAGTTATAATGAGCAGTCTTCATCTCCATGTATTTCATTTCCATATCATCGACCATTGATGAATTTTTATCGAGTTGAACCTAATAATATTTGTACATTAGTATTTTAATATGTTTAACCGGGTGATTTTTTAAAACAATATATTTTATTGATATAATTCCATACAGCTGTTGGGTTCTGACTATTTTTAAAATAATGTTATTATCTCGGATTATTGTTTTATCCTGTTTGGGATCAGGATTTTTATTTTTAATTTGTCCTCTTTTATTTTCCAAGTCAAACAACTAAATTTGGATTATTTAAACGCCGCGTTTCCATAGCATTAACGTGAGATTGAGATTTTCTACGAAAATAAATTTATACATTGAGAACGAATCATGTGGTGCGTTCACACGATTTCAGATACTGATTTCGTATAGTGAATCATTGAATGTAATTTATTAAAAAAATGTGATATTATGTTCAATTTAAAATATTTTTATTGATGCAATAGGAACTTAACCTAAGTACTGTCAATATCTAAGACCTTGGTTTACAGCTTTCTTTTTCTGATCAAAGCATTGTTTTCATTTCTTGAACTAGATAAGAAATGAACTTGCTCTGTATCTCAGTAGTCGCAGAAATTCCTTCCATTTCATATGGTTCTCTCTTATAGACATTCCTGTTTCGTGGTATATATCAATCATTACAGTCTCGATAGCTTCCTTAATGCTTACTTCGGAGAAACACCCTAAACATTGAGTGGCAAACGTAACAACCCACATGAAAGGTTTCTGTTAATTGCCTCCATGAACCCTTTGGGCAAGACCCGGTCGAGCTCAGCCTGGGCTTCAGGGGAAGTTCAAGACCAGAAAAAATGACAATCCCGTAAGTTCTAAACATGTAGCCAGTTTTAATTGATCGCCTTGGATAAAGGTTTCAGTTTGCACTACCAAAGGAGCAAAAAACGGCAGACTTGGGTGGATGTTGTGTCAACCAATTTGCCCATTTCTCGTCGAGCACTCCGCACGGTGGTTCCGGAGTTAGTGGACCACTTAAAAGAACTAGCTTTTGAAAATGGGTCTTCATGAAATCAAGGTAAGGACCTTCCATTCCGTTACAGGTGTGCTTTAAGAGAAGTAACCGAGGTTTCTGGGAACCCGCATGCAGGCTTCTTTAGGTCTTCAACCGTGGGCTCCTCTCCTCGGTTTCAACTCCAATAAGCCTAGCGCGGACGGTAAGGTAAGCACCAGATATGGCGGCAGCGAAGACCGAGAAGCAAAAAGTCTAGATGACGAGTTGAGAGGAGAGTTTCGGAAGCCAGCGTTGTAAGAAATCAAAGAAGGCAAATTGGGGTTTGAGATCTGATAGTAGAGCTTCGATTTGAAGCTGCATGAGATCCAAGGCTTGCTTGAGCAGCTCATGCAAGTTGGCAAAGTCTGTATATCTGCTAGCAATGGTGCTGGGGATTGCCTTAGCAGTGGCTTACCTTGGAAGTTGGAGCAGGAGGCATGCTCAGGAACCAGAACCTGGCATAGATTGGTACGCTATCCGGCACATATAAGGTAAAGGACCAAGTAATGTCCGCTTCTTTTGTCTGGTTTGATACTGTTCATAAACAACATGAATGCATTCTATAAAAAATGTATATGTAAATGGTTTTCGAATTTCACTCTATTGGAATAACAGAGGGGAAAAAAGGATAAAACAATGAAGAAAAAAAGGAAATAAGAATCGAGATGTTTACTGCGATCTGATAAATACCTCTTTGTTTGATTCAGATCTCAATAAGTGAAAAAACTAATTCTTAAGGAAGCTGAACGAGTGTGGATATTTGCGAAGAAATTCGACTTTCAAATTAAAGGTGATAAGCGATAAGTTATTATGAATTTCGCAAGGTTAGATGGATATTAAATTTTGAGTTTCAGTTATGAATTCTATAATAAATAAAATATTTGTTGTTGCAGAAAAATATTGGGAAGTTGACTGTACAGCTTCGGAGCAGTATCGAATATCAGATACGATGTTATGTTTGTAGTATTTAACAGTCGAGTTAGATTAAATATTCAGACATATCTAAATTTGGAAAAAAAAAGTAAATGACGTTATAAATACAATTTCAAACCATCAAACAATACGATAATCTCAATTAAATGTAAATTAATGAACACTTGTAAATGGGTTAGGATTCAGTTATTACAAGTGTACAAATTCCGAATATGATATAATCCAAAAATTTAGATATTTGAAATTTCGGATAATTAAAACATGTATTCATATTTGACCCAAAAAAAACAAATATCCGAATTTAAATATAAAATTTAATTTGATACAAAATAATTTTATATTCTGTGACTTTATGCAACTTATTCGATAATTTTACTATATATTATATATATATATATATTATATTTAATTATTCATACACAATAAGTAAATATCTTAATTTTTATTGGGCTAGAGTTTTAATATGTTAGTGGGTTTCTTATTTATTGGGCTAAAAACTATCTAAAATTTAAATACCCATTTTTTTTTTCAAATTTTGGGATAATCCAAAATTGGAATTTATTCTATTTGTATTTGATCCGATTATCCAATTTGTTTGGATATCAGATCCGAAAATAAAAAAAACAAATTAGGTATTCGAATTTTCAAATCTCGGGTCAACGGATTGGACCGGTTAGATCTTTTTGCAAACCCCTACTAGTTACATATTATGAAACTCTTTTAGTTTTACATTAAATTAGGACCGTTAATGAGTGAGAATAGAAGATTAAGATTAACTCTTTGTTTCTTTTTTCTAGTGAATATTTTCTCATTTACTACCGTTAATCTCAACTTTCTATTTTTCACTCATCCAACGGTCTTAGTTTAGTGTAAAACTAAAAGAATTTTACATAATATAATTAGATCGTATCCCTTTAAATTTTATAGTTAAAAGTCATGCAGTACATAAAAAGAAAATTAATGTCGCATATTAATGCATGTATAACTTTGATAATAGATTTTTCCTTAAAATAGAACGTGAATAATGATAACACAAATTCCCACGTTTTCTAGGGGGGGTTTATTTATTTTACTAAGAACAACATAAGAAGACCTCGATGTCGATCTTCTGAGACAAACAATCAAGTGGGACATACGCAGGCTGGTACAATTTAGCAATTCAGGAAGAAATTATACACAATACAAATAAGACCACGTTTCTACACACTGAAAAAAGCATGAAAATGAGGCAGACTGACATGATGTATTAGCCCTGGCAAAGAACTTCAGGTTTTAACTGCAATTCCAGATGTTGCAATGTTTGGAATGATGTCCAGAAACATAGCCCTAGCAGCTGGGTCGGTTGAAAATCGACCCGTCACAGCAACAGTGGCCGTGTTACTTCCAAACTTCTCGATCCCTCTAGAAATCATGCAAGTGTGGTAAGCCTCCACAACTACCATGGCATCACCACCTGTGATTGATGAAACCGTCTCTGCTATTTGCCTACTCAGTCTTTCTTGCACCTGTAGCTTGAATCCATAATAATGTACTATTGACTGCACAACTGACTTTTCAATGGGTTTAGATCCTTCAGGACACAGGTATCCTACATGGACCACACCATGGAAAGGAAGCAAGTGATGCTCACATTGAGACCAAAATGATAAGTTCAACTCTGAATGCATCTGTTGATGATTGTGGGAGCATTCGCCACAAGTGAAGCCATTCAACGCCATCTCCAACTTCGTGTTCTGAAAGTTCATCAACCAGTTCACGAAATGGCATGGAGTTTCAACAAGCTCCTTCCTTGATGGATCCTCACCTAAAGATCTGAGTATTGAAGCTACTGCAGCAACCATTCCGGGGTTGGCTGCTACAATCTCAGAAGAACCATAGGAAGGGCACCAACTTTTTGTCATAGAGTCCCTTGTTGGAAATTTCTCCACAGCTACACCTCTGAATTTCAAGAGTCCCATAAAGTCACCCCAAGCATGGGAGTTTTCGTTTTCGAAAACCCCTGAACCTGAAGAGACATGAACTTTTATCCATCCTTGATGCTTTGAGTCATGGCAGACTGAGTCCAGATTTGGGAAATGAATGTGCAAACACTGGAGTATTACAGCAACCCCTGCTGGATTGATTCCAAGGTGCAGAGCTGAACATATTTCATCTGCTAGACGCTGTGGATCTTGCAGTCGTTTTGCAAATACACCGGCTACCCTAGACAGTTTGCTTAACCCGACGACACGCTCACCCGATGGCACGTAACCTACATGACATTTGACTTGAAACGGGAGCAAGCACGACTCACAATACGAGAAGAAATCGAGATCTCGAACAATCACAAGCCCACCTGCTCCCCCGGCATGACCAACTCCATCATGCAAACCCACTTCAGGGAATAAAGCTCCCTGAACGATATCCTTCACTTTTTGTTTGTAACCTGGAAAAAAGTAATGGAAAATCCTTGATCAAACACAAAACATTTATAAATGCACATGCATGATGCATGTGTGTGAGATGAACAAGAAAGTGTACAATTTCTCGTACAAATGTATCACTATATGAACATCAAAAACTTCATATGCAGCAAAATATAAACAGTAAAACAGATCAAACCCATCACCATCGAAGATGGTGACAAGTTTTAGCTGAAAACAAAATCTTACTCCACTTTAAAGTTGCATCACCAAACGCCTAAGTTGTAGTAAAATTTAACAGCATAAAATCATGGGCAATTAGTATACTGTAAAACTATATGATCGAGAAAAACGAAAGCACATGAAACGCACCTATTGTCCCTTCTCGAAGTGCCTTGGCGACACGAAGAGGAGTTTTCTTAATGCCTTCTCGGTTGATATCTTCACCCAAGCCCTGCAACAGAACTTTAACAGCGTCTTCAATGGCTATAGTTTGTGTCTCCTTCTCCAAACCAAAGTCATTTCCACCCATTTCCGTTCCATTCTCGAGCTCAATACAGAAATGACACTCACCCACGCCCATTGACAGAACCAGAGAATAAAACAAAGAAAACAAACTTAATTCAAAATAAAAGGAGGAACTAATGAAAACCCAAAGCTGGAAACAAGCCGAAAATCAACCAGAAAATCAGAGTGTTAATCCAATTTTTTTACGCGAAACTAATAAAATCAGAGGAACTCAGACGCTAAAAAGAAGGAAAAAGAAAGATAATAACAGAGAAAGAAGTAAAACCAAGGAAATAAAGGAAGAGGTACGTAGGATTGCCGTTGGTCTATGAAATATATGGATCTTCTCCAATGGTTTTTATAATGAAAAATTTAATAAAAAAATGCCGAAATTATTTCTTTTTCTGGGAATTCGAAATCTATTAGGCCTGACTGCCTCAACCACCACCTCCACAAGGAGCCAACGCCAAGAAAAAGACAACGGCGGTGGCACACCGACAATTGGAGGGGGTTAATAGAAATAAATTTTAGGTTTTTCTGGCAGTTGATATTGTTATTATTTTACGAAGAAAATGGAGTTGAGACAAAAGTAAAATTCTATATTTTTATCTTTACGTAAAGATTAATATCATCAACTTTTTTTTTTTTTACTAAATATTTAACAGTAATGTATTTCAAAGACTCGTCATTTTAATCATCGTGTTCTATAAAGATTGATTTTTGGTTTTTATCTTACGGGACCAAAATATTATTTTATTAACGAAATAAACATATATACATATATATATATATCTTATTTAATATATTTTGAAGATTTTTAGAAAACATCAAAGTTGACACAAAATATCATTATAAACGAAAACAACGACTACACTTAGCTATAGAGAAACTCCCCACTCAAAATATAAATTCAAATTAATATTATCAGACCAATCAATACACTTATCACTTAGCTTAGCCTGGATCATCTCCTTAACTGATCACACCACAGCCTCCCTGTTCTCGAGACTGATTTCAGAACTGTCTGCAATTCCTCTCCTATCATATGCAGTAAATGACTATTTCTATTTTCATATTGTTTAGGTCTTTAGGATTTGTTTTTTCTTCTTCGATTCTTTTAAGATTAATTTAGATTAGCTCGTGTTATATACTTAGTTTTGGTAGGTGAATTTCTCGACGTAAATTTTTTATATACATAGAAATTAAAACTTCAGTCTTACTTAAACGATATCAAAATGCTTACCACTTGAATCAATCTTATTAATAATTGTGTTTTGACATGAACACTTATTCTTTTAGAAGTATAAAATCTTTGTACTTCAATTTTATCTAATCATTTTTTATAATTTTGGTTTATGTTTCAAATCTGATGATTTAAATTTTAAATAAAAAATGTTAACTTAAAAATGTATTTTATAAATCCTTAATGTGTATTTCCTGTCCCACTAAATGTGTCTATTATTGACTTTTTAAAAATTAAAGTTTTTAAACTTTAGCCATGATTATTTTAAATATTTAAAACAATTGACTTTTATAAAAATATATATTTAAAAATTACTTGATTTAAAGTTTTTAAAATATATTTTTTTCAGTAATAAATTTTAAATAATAATGAGTCAAAATTAAAAAAAATTGACAAAAATCAATTATTAATAAATTTAATGAAATAAAAGAGTATTTTTTAAAACATACTTTTTATTTTAGTAATAAAAAACATTTTAATATTAATTATTTATGCCACGTAAAATAAAATATATTCAATTTATTACACTTTTAGGAACCAAAGTTTTTTTTTATTTATAAAAAAAGCCATATAATTTTATTTTATATATATTGCAATATAAGATGAAAGTTTTGGTCCGGTACAGGCATTCACGTAGAAAACGACACACTGAAAATTACGATATCCAAGAAAATATTTGTAACTTGTAAGCATATTTTAAATTTTACGAATCTAAATAATGTATATATTTTAGACTAAATTATGATAAAAATAACAACAACAACAAAATCATATTCTCATATGCAATGGGGTAAGAGGGAGGTAGGGTAGTAGCTTGCCCCCAACGTCAGGTTGAGAGCAACTTCCGTGGAAGACCTCCGGCAGTTAGGAAATTAAAAATAAAGCTAAAATGTAATGCATGTATAAATAAATAAATAAATAAATACATCGTTGAACAGTCTTCATATGCAATCTCTGCATATAGACAGAAACGTAAGACCCAGATAAATTTAAAAAGAGGAAACCTAAAGAGAATGATACACAGAAGTCAACGATAGCAAGCTACGAGAAGGTATAAAGTCAAATGGGTTAAAAACTAAACTAAGGCAACACTACTTCGCTACCCTACTTCTAAGCCCTCATAAATTCCAATGAGAGAAACTTATAAAAAATAGAAGTCATGAAAATTACTACAAAGGCATTAGAAAGAAGACAGAGATGTTACACCCTATGGCTGTGACTCGCACTACTCGGCTACCCTGGTCTTAAGTCTCCATACTTTCCTATCAGAGGTCATGTCCTCGGTAAGGGCTAGATCCTTCAAATCAGATCTCAAGCAGTCTTCCCACTTCCGCCTTGGTTGTCCTCTCCTTCTGACACCGTCGACTGTAATCGACTCTACCCTTCTGATCGCATAATATGGTTTTTGCCTAAGGACATGCCCAAACCATCGTAGTCTTCCCTCCCTCAATTTTTCGGATACAGGCACCACTCCAAGGACATCCTAATAGCAGAGTTTGGTGTCATGTCCCACAAAGTCTTACCACATGCCCATCGAAACATTCTCATTTATGCGGCCTCCATCCTCCTTACGTGATCTTTCTTGATTGCCCAACATTCTGATCCATACAGCAACGCTGGTCTTATTGCCATTCTATAAAATTTTCCCTCAAGTTTTAGAGGCACCTTTTTGCACACAAAACTCCAGTAGCAGCCCTCCATTTTAGCCATCCCGCCTTTATACGGTGTGTAACGTCATCATCTACACCTCTATCTTTATGTATCATAGACCCTAGGTACTTGAAACAATCCTTTGATGGAAGAATGTGTCCTTCGATGCATACTTCTACACCTTCATCGTTTTGGTTCCCACTGAAGTTTGAACATAAATACTCTATCTTTTTAATATTGATCCTTAGACCTTTTTCTTTCAAAACAGTCTTCCAGGTAACCAGTCTATTATTCAGCTCAGTTTTTGTTTTAGCAACTAGGACAATGTCGTCAGCGAAAAGCATACACCATGGGACACCGTCTGGTGTCGCACAATAGATGTCGTCCATAATCAAGGAGAAGATGTAAGGGCTAAGAGCCGACCCTTGGTGGAGTTCGATTTCCACCGGGAAAGCCTTGATGTCGCCAAGTGTAGTCCTGACATATGTAGTAGATCTACAGTACATATCACGAATCGCCCGGATATAAGCAGTTGGAATCCGTCTCGTTTCCAAGGTCTTCCATATCGTTTCGCGGGGAACGCTATCATACGTCTTCTCAAGGTCAATGAACGCCATGTGAAGATCTATATTTTTTCCCTATATTTTTCCATAAGCCGTCGAAGTATATGAATTGCCTCTGTAGTATACCTGCATGGCATAAAGCCAAATTGATTTTTTGAAACCCTAGTAACCTGTCTCAACCTAGCCTCTATCACCCTTTCCTATAGCTTCATGGTATGGTTGAGTAGTTTAATACCTCTGTAGTTGACACAACGTTGGGGATCTCCTTTATTCTTATAGATTAGAATCACCGTAGACTCTCTCCACTCCTCTGGCATCTTGGCAGTCTCTAAAATAATATTAAAGATGTTGGTCGACCACTTAACTCCCTCATCTCCTAGTGCCAACCACACAATGATAGGAATTTGATTTGTACCGACAGCTTTGTCCCTCCCCATCTTTCTAAGAGCCATTTTGACTTCCTCAAACTCAATCTTACTTGTAGGGCAGTAATTGGTCGTAGTATGATGGTCGGCTGACCCATCAACGGTACTATCTCTACAGGGAGAGGCACCATCATTAAATAAGCCAAAGAAGTAACTACCCCAAACCCTCTTAATATAATGATCTTTCACTAAAAAAATACCATTGTTGTCCCTAATAAACCTAATGCTACCTAGATCCTTTTTCCAATTTTCCCTGGATTTTGCAAACCTAAAGATGACGTTTTGTCCTTCTTTGGTGTCTAATCTCTTGTACATTTCCTCGTATGATTTATCCTTTGCTTTAGCCACTATTTTCTTGGCTTCCCGCTTTGCCTCCTTGTATCTTTGTTTAGTTCTCGATCTTTCTTCGTCGTCATTGCATTGTAGAAACTCCTTGAAGCAAGTTTTCTTTGTCTTCACCTTAGTTTGGACTTCGTCATTCCACCACCATGGTTCTTTATGTTCCTTGACCTTCCCTGTCGACAACCCAAGGGTGTTTTTCCCACATCTCTGATGAAATTTGCCATATTTTTCCATAACATATCTGCATTATTTGAGTTTGTAGTTCTAGAACCTCTAATAGACAAAACCTTACTCCTAAAGTCATCAGCTGTCGCTCCATGTAAGTTCTTCCAAAAGATCTTAGGTTTACCAAGTTTAGCCCTCCTATGAGTGCTCCACCCGTGGTGTACACGGAACACCAAAACCAACAATATGTGTTGTGATGCACATACCTCTTCGGGGAACACCTTACAGTCAATGCAAGCTAATCGATCCCGATTTTGAACCAGGATGTAGTCGATTTGGGTACAATGTCCCCCGCTATGGAACGTAATCAAGTTCACATCTCTCTTGTTAAAGAAGGAGTTAGTGACCACCATATCGTGTGTAGTAGCAAATTCAAGCAACGTTCGACCCTTCTCGTTCCTACTACCAAAACTGAAACCCCCATGAACACCGTCATACCCGTCGGTTGCACTACCTATATGGTCATTGAAGTCTCCCCCTATGAAAACTCTTTGGTCCTCCGGAATGCTCCTAAGTACATCATCTAACTGATCTCAAAAGCAACGTTTCTCCCCCTCCCCTAGGCCAATGTGAGGGGCGTACACTGAAAGGATATTCACCACTTCCGCTTCTATAATAACCTTAATCATCATGATCCTATCCCGATATCTACAAACTTCAACTACATTTTCCTTGAGCCTAGAGGATACCCACCCCATTTCTAGCATTATCTACGCCTGAATACCACAACTTGTACCCATTACACTCTTTGGGGCGAGCCCCTTTCCACCTAGTCTCCTGAATACAAGCAAAATCTATTTTCCTATTACTAAGTACGTCGGTCAGCTCCAGCAGCCTAGCATTTAATGTGCCTACATTCAACGAACAAACTCTAAGTCTAGTCTCATTTACACCACTCTGTCGAGCCCTCCCCCTATACGCCTTGTGGGATCTAAAAGAAGGACATGACCTCAAG